CACAGTGGCTCCTTTCACAATAATATTTGAAAGGGTTTCTTCCACGAGAGTGCTGCAATTGCCACGGCTGAGTCTTGCGGAAGAAACGTTCAACAAAAGGGTTCGAGTCGAAATTCGGGCAAAGGCCTCCCAAACACACTTGGGTCGTGAAAGCACGTGCTGCAAAGCCCGGTAACCTTTTCAAGCGACGAGCAGATAGGAGCACCTCGTTCCCATCTCCTAAGTCCTAAGTTAGTTGGCCCAGTCTTTAGCTGCGGGGCCTGGGCCCCGGTGGTTCGGGCTCATGCGCTCTCTAGTGAGGTTCGGGGGCCCCGAAGGTCCGAAGCATTGGAATTTGCAAAACCTCACCCAACGAAATGGCTGCGAGACTCGTCGAAAAGTGCAACCGAGCTACCGAGAATCGTGCCCCCGCTGCCCACAATGATCTTAATGAAGCCTTCTGTCTCGCCTTCGCCTTAGGCAGCGTGAAAATCCATTACCATCCTCGTTGCCAGGAAGTTTTTGTTCTGACACTGACCTGGTGACCAGGTTCCACGAGTAAGGTGGTGCTGCTAGCTCTTCCTGCTGATCTCAAGGCTAACCTCTTTTTCGACAATTTCACTCCATGCAACTGTGACAGCACGGACCGCTTCGCCATGACTTGGCAAACTACACAAACCTCAAGCATGGCTCAGCATGGCTGAGGCCAACTTCGTCTTGCGCTACTAAGAGAATTGGGATCAGCCCATAATTGCGTAGTTCGTTCACGGTTTCTTGGGAACAGCACTAGAAAGACGGCGGCATCAGGTTCCGATTTGCGAAGCGTGACAGCAAGAGCCAGCACTTCCCGGTCACAAGACGAGGTTCCAATTTGCTCCAATTGCATAGCGGGGGGCAAACTGCGCGGTCAACGTGCGACAGCATGCGCATCTTCGCCTTGGAGGGGCTGTCACGAAGCTATACAAGCAAAGTTGCGAACAAGTTTGCAAGCTTATGCAAGCTTGCTAAAAGTCTTTGCAAGCTCTATAGGAATGCTTGATAAACCAGAGAGCAACTGACACAAGCAATCTCATCCGCCAAATCTACATATCTGAGCTGATGGCCGAGACTTTGTCGATTCCGTGCGCATCTGCCGCCTAATCGCCAGCGAAACAGTGGAACACGCGGAGGCGTTTCGGGCGAGCGTTTCACGACGTGCGGACATGCGAAGCAAAGCATCACTGGATTGGCCCTCGCGTCAATACGTACTTTTCACTCGTGCACTTGCCTCCTTCATGGTCAAACCCACGGTGGCCACTTCTGGGTGAGTAAAGGTGCAGCGCGGAACTGCCTGGGCGGAAAGCTTCGGAATTGCTCCCCGGCCCACAATCGCCAAAGCCGAAGAAAAGTCAGCGGCCGTATAGTACTGACTTCCTGTACCCACCCCTATAGAACTTCAACTGTCCCTGAGTCAAACAAGCCAGTCACATACACGTACAAGCTGACAAGCGGCAAACAACATAGTTATCGGACGGTATTGGCATATGTTCGTATGTCCTGAGCCTCAATATCGCATTGTGTCAACTAATTCAACTGCACCGGGGGACTGCGCCTACATGTAGCTGGCAGCTAGCACCACGGTAAACCATGGGGCCAGGCCGTCTTGAAAAACCTCCTCCGGCTGCACACATACCAAGAACCGAAGATCTTTCCCCTGCCGCACACCTGTCACCAGCATAGAGTTAAGCCTTCAGCTTTCCGAAGTTACACAAACACCCGCAATACCTCGAAGTAGCTGTGGGGAGCTCTTTAGGCCCTCGTCCTACCACAGACCTCGCCTCGCAGGCATCGTACACTTGGCTTCTTTACATCTGCAGCCGGTGGCACCGGATTTCCAGGCCCTGCCAGCGAGATTGGCTGCACAGCGTTGAAGGCCGCCAGAGCACCCTGCAACCGTTCTTCAAAGGGGCAACTTAAGCAAGAGGACTGCTTGGACCTTGGCCGCCGCGGTCCTGTAGCCACATGTCGTGACACAGCACGTGCGATGGTAAGCCGTCATATGCTGTGGCCGTGTTCCATTACCCTTTCCTCGCGCCTGGTAGCCGGCCAAATGGGTGAACTGAAGGCCACCCAGGCAGTCTCCAACCTTTCGTTTAGCTGAGACCAGCACAAAAGTCAAGACACATGATGACATATGGCCTTCAGGGCGTGACAGCCCACAGTGCTGGGAAGCCTGTGGAATCCCAAGTTTTGAGGTCTGTACTCAGCCTCCGGCCAATCAAGTTTGTGCGATGCCCGGGGATTGCAAATCTGAACTGCTTGCAGGTAGCTGCATAAATGTGCTTCGCAGACGTCCGAAGCTTCGCCTTACATGCAGCACAAGAGGCACAAACTATGCAAAATTGGATGTCCTGAAGCGCATATTAAGGCAGAAGCAATACTGCTGGGAGCTGAGTTTATGACAAACATGCACATCGCAGTGACATGTTGCACGCTCGTGGCAAGGCATGTCGCCACGGATTCTGGCTATCCCACGCAGACGAACAAGAGACACTCTCGCAAACAAACCCACAATCTTCACCTCCATATACACCCACAAACAAGGTCACACACACACACACGCACACACACACAAGAAGACAAACAAACAAGCAACCAAGTAAGCGCATGCAAGCTCAGAAGCAGGCATCGCAGAGATGCTTTCTTGCTGCCGGCGTGCATCCACGGAAATCCCGTTTTGGGTCCATTTTACGCCTGGCGGGGCAAGCAGGTGGTCGGGCTGCTCAGCAGGCTCGAAACCACTAGTAATGCTTTTTATATGTATGTATAAATATATATATATATATACATATATATATTTATTTATGTGTGTGCATATTTTATATGATACGATATGATATGATATGATATGATATATATATATATATACACATGTAATTTAATAATTACAGCAAAATATATACTAGTCCTCTCGGGCTCGCTAATAGCCGTCAAAATGTTTCCAACAGATAACCAGAAAGTAGCTGAAGAATTACCCCCATCACCACAGCACACGAACTGAAGAGGCCCTGACCTCCAATCCAAGTGCATGCTTGCTGATCTAAGGACACTGACCCTGCCAAAACATGAAGCTCTTCTGTAGGTGGCTTCAATCATGCACATGCACCCATCTGCCTTGTTCGCTGACAACTGGCAAGACAAATACCACACACAGCACCACGATGTAGTCATACACCGTGGTTTAAACTAGACAGCTACGCTCCTTTCCACAAGTTCGTGGGCCTGCACGGTCCAAGCTCATGGCATCGAGACCTGCCGACGGTGCTGTCCAAAGCCCCTCTTAGGAGCGCATGTGCAGATACACGTGCATGCATTACACATGTATGCCAACATACGTGCCTATCCTCTACCCTTTTGTTATGTACAGCCAGGACAGGAATTCAAGCCAAGAAAGGAACTATCATGTAAGCTGGAAGGCTTTTTGTAGTGTTCCTGCCATGTGAGAAGCGGGACGTGCCGTAGTTGAGAACTACTCGGCCTGTTCTCCAAAAAGCCCATGGTCACATCCGATGCGCTCAACATTAAACTGGCTATGCAGTGTTGTTCCATACTTTTAGCCCCTTCTCCGGACTGCACTGAAGACAATAAACATCCTGTGTACCACACTGGAAAGCATTCGGATTAACCCGACCGTGATCATCCGGGATTTTGAATTCGAAGTACAAACTTACAGTTTGGGCCGCATGCGGACCCGATGTTCAAGCGCTTGACGCTCAGAACACAAAAGCTGCTGATGCAATGCTTTAAAGTTTAAGCTGCGGAGCTGTGACAGACTTTTCCTCGCATCTCTTCGCGTCTTCATGTCCAAAACATATGCACCTTTCCGTCTTCGCCCTGTGCACCGGTTGAACTCCCAATGCAACAAACTTCAAGCCTAGACCCGAAACCCGACACTCTACGCGTCCTATGACAAACAATCATCAGCGAGTCTCAGGGGCCTTTGGGCCTGCGGCCCGCTGCCAGCAGGAGTCCAGCACATGTCCTCGGAGGAGGGGCCGGGCCCCAGGTTGCGGGTAAAAGCGAGACAACAAGTATACCAACCCGCTACTAGTAGTAGAGTTCCGAAGGATGCTGAACGTCATGGGACCTTCAGTTTTTTGAGGCGGATCTGGAGGGTGTACCAACCGCGACAGGGGTAGATAATCTGATTTTTATGGCGGATCTGTGACTTAGATATGAATCGGCCAAGATGTACACTTCATGTGATAGCTCACAAGGAAGAACCCAGTTCACAACAGAAGGGACTGAGGACTAGACTAGACTCCTCACTGAACGGCTATACTTCCAATCTGCACCCATTATTGCTGGCAGTATATAGACTTCTCCCCGCACCAATCCCCACTGCAGCACTACTCCCCACTGCGCAAAACGCTGGCCGCACCGTGTACAACACTCCTGTATATGGACCTACGTAGTCCCTCGCCTCTATGTCACACGAGCTCCTGTACTGGATTGTCTGGATTCCAAGGGGCAAGGATCTACCACCAGCACGAAGGACGAGGCCTGGAGATTGGAAATCAAAAGTGAAATTGGCTTCCAATGAACCTTGGGAGACCACTTGAAATCAACATTTTGTTCCTCCTGGCCATCGACAGTCACAACTGCAATCACAATGATAATGAAGGGTGTAGTGCTGACAGAACTACAAATCCATGGCACGAGAGCAGGGCGATTACGCACTCAGTTGCAACGACAACAGAAACATTAGTTAAGCAACCGAAAACACTTGCAAGTAATTCTTTCGGGGCCGTTGGCAAAGTTAGGGTCCTTGCAAAGCTGAGTGCGTGAGTACTGTCGCCGTACTGCACAATTGCATGACATGAACTTGCTTGAACAACACGACGCGCTTTCGTCACTTCGCAACAGACTTTTCAAACCCCGAGTTTAAACTAAACTCTCGAGCGAAACCTCTCCGTGTTTGATTACTCTCGTCGTCCTAACTTCATCAAGCCGCCGCCAGCGGCTGGCTCCACCGACTCTGCCCGACCTTCGACTACCACGATACCGTCCTTGCGACAAGAAGCGCGACATGATTCGGGGGACTCGGGTCTATCGTCCAAACCAGGAAGATAGGAACACAAGCATGCAGCCTTGCAAGCTTGGGTGTTTTCGGGCGGAAAACATTCCGCCGAAACTCTAGTGAGTTTGTCGATCTGCCGAAACACGATTCTGTTCCGAACTCTGCCAAATTCACCCAGCCAGACTCACAGCCATAGCTAGCTGCTAGCTCGACCCAAGTCCTTCTCGAAGACCTGCGACATGACGTGGCGCCTGGATTCAGACAGCAGCGTAACAACCAAACCAGTTCAGAAAACGCAAGCGGTCCAAATTTTGCACGGCACTAAAGGGAAGGGGCAGCGCTCACCGAGTTATGACTTGTTCCCACTGCAGTGCTCAGGTCTGCACACGTCATCATCTTCGCGCGGCATCATCTTGCCCACCAGCGTCACCTGCAAAGGGACAGAGCCATCTGGGCATTTTTCACCTCGAAACCCCTTTAACTCCTTAACTGAGGACGACCTGCAGGATGCAAGCGCAAGCATAGATCCTGGCTCTGGCGAGTCTTCTGCAGGATTGTCGTAGATTCTACCATTGCCACGTCTTCCTAAACCCTCAGCCCCAAGCCACGGTCGTACCTATTAACCCAATAAGCCCTGAGCAGAGGATGCCTTGCACCCCAACCGGGCAAAAGCCTGAGCAAGCTCGCTGCCGATTGGGCCTCAACTGAAGAGCTGCTGGGAGGCTCGAGCTTCGTCTCAAGCACTTCCTCAACTACATAGTTACTAGGTTGCTACCTATCATGGCTGGTATCATTGCTCTCTTTCTCGGTCTACACACACACACACCGATCGATCTATGTATGCACACATATGGTTGTACAGGTACTTGAGAGTACGCACACGTGTGCATGTAGAAAGCGGAAATCTGCAAATCAGACACTGGTGCAAATGGAGCCCTGATAGATAAAGTGACAGCCTATGCTGGCTGCACACATACCTGTCGTTTCTCTGTAGTTGCAAAAGAATCGCACGTATTCTGCCAGGGATGTATTGACACACCAAGTGCATCGCAAAACTCCGAACTCCGTGCCATTGTAGCGGCTGGCCTCCTCCGATCACCGCCAGGCTCGAAGGAAGATCCGGCAAATCGAAGATCGTCTCCTCAAGCCAGAAAGCGCGTCCGCAAGCCATGTTCTTGTACTTTCGCACAGGCTAGGTGCCGCATTCTGCGGGTTAAGCACAGACACGTGAAGTGGCAACAAAACACACTGCACAGCGGCATGCTTCTGGGTTGATCACATGCTCTGGGGAGTCTCAGGCACAGGATCACCCTGCTCGGAGTCGCAGGCACGGCCACCATCTGAGCTACAGGCTGGCAGCGTCTTTTCTTAAGAACCCCAAAATCCAAGTCAACCCACTTTGCCGAGCGGCGTATGTGGCATACTTCACAGCTTCGAGGCCCTTAAGAGGTGGTATCACCTGCAAGTTTCTGAACTCAATTTTCAACGAGAGGTTGTGGGAAAAGCCTTGGCTTACCGGCGAATCACGGGCAAAATCACCGAGGCAGAGCCAAGTGTTCTCCCAAGGGATATACTTCCGTCCGGACGGAAATCTGGGCGGACACACCGAAGCTTCCAGCGACCATCTGGGACACTTGCAGGGTTCCACTGCCAAGCCATCCCGAGTAAAGCCCTATTCCCCAGGTGGGAGGCACATGAGCCAAACAGAATTGTGCTTTCGATCTCAAGACCAATGCTCCCCTCGATAGGTCGCAGCTTTCCCTGTATCAGCCGTGTTGCTGGGCCCGCCCCTGTAGCGATGATGAAGTGGTTGGCAGCAACGAGCTCCGTTCCTTGTGTGACGTTTCGGGCTTTCGGATGGACTTCAGAAACTGAACAGTGGATTCGGAGCTGGCTCTATGCCACTCTGTCGCAAGTAGCACCTCTTCTTGAAAACAAACCATGCAGTAATCAGCCAAACCTCGTCACCGCATAGGGAAACTCATCGTCAACCTAAACCTTTAAAACCACCAATCCTCAACTGGGCTAGGCGCCTCCAGGAGTCGTGTTTTCCACCGTCGCCAGCTGCAGCGTCTTCGCATCCACAAAGGAAGCCTTGGCTACGCAGCTCAAGGACAAACTGGTTGAGGCCAGGTTGAAGGTTTCGACTCTCCCACACGCTCGCACACCACAAGCAAGGCTCCACAATCCGAAATGACATATGTGGCAGCCGAGCTGACCCAAAACACAGTTTGGAGATTTGGGGTTTGAGGTTGGTTGGTAGGGCGTAGGGCTTGGAAGTTGAGGCATGCATGCATGAATCATCTACAAGTGCTTACTTAAGACACGCACACATGTGTATCTATCTATCTATCTATCTACAGGGTAGTATGTTTATCTACTTGTTTGCTTGGTAACGCTTCATCATACGAAAGATCATGAACTAATCAACTGTAGTAGCAAAAAAGAAACTGTGTAGTGATACTGTTACTAATAATCAACAATACTTATGTCTGTAATACAATCAGTACCGCAGCACCAACAACAGTCAATAATAAAAACAACAATAAGAAGAGCAACGCTAAGAATAGTACTATTGATGAGACTGATAACCAATAAATCAATGATATGCAGTAATGCTATCATTTCTTAAAGGACGTTCCGCAATCAAATTTGCAGAGAACAGGGTGATACCCTTAATCCTGAATCCCTTTTAGCCCTAAACCCCTGAAGACTCTAAAGACTCTGCTGCCAAGGAAGCATGAACGCCCAGGCGTACTTCCACACCGGCAGCTTCCAGAACTTCGGGGCTGTCGTCCTGGCTTCGCGGCGGAGCTCCCTTAAGAGTTCCTTGAAGAGGGCCCCTTTAAGGGCTCATGTAGCCATAAACTGTATGCTTGGCCTTGCTATGTAGGTACTTGCGGTACTTGGGTCCAAAGGTGTATTTGGGACGCGGGCTCAGACGGCTCGAGGTTGGGCAGTTTTGGGGGTGGGAGACAGCATGATTGGCGGATCGCCGCGCTTTGATGCTGCCCTGCCATCTTTACATTCATGTAATCGGCGCAGAAAGACAAACGAACCATCCAGCCTGCTACTGCATCACGCCCATGACCCATACCCCGAAACCACAAGTGCCTAGACCGAGGATGATGCGCCAAGCCAAGAAGAAGTGCCTGATTGTAGATGTGCTCCTGGCCTGACAGGATAACCACCAAAGCCCTAAACTTGTTTGACTGGACTCAAGGATCCGGAAAAATGTCGGAAGAGATCGTGTGAAGCACACAATTGGCTTAGAATCTAGAAGGACCCTTGCAGATATGTGGGCACACGCCCGCACTTATATCTGCATGCCGAACAATGATGAGTCATTACAGTGATCGCTAGGTACCTGCGCTAGAAAGATGAGCAGAGAAATTCCGACACGAGTGCTCATGTTCTCTTCAATACAAAACGGTCGCAGGGCGGAACAGGTTTGGTCGGGGCTTCGGACCTGTCGGTACATTCAGATGCCCCCTTCACAGGGCAGGCTGCTGGTGTCAGAATTGGGATGGGGGGTCCCAGGAGGCCCTCAGCTTTGATGAGTACGACGAATAGTAACATGAAGAATATTAGTATTTATGATAACCAGGTGCCGGAAAAGCCTCATTTAGTATTTCGCGAGCGCTGGACCGTTCACAGAAGCTCTGTCCGAGAGCTTCTTACGACTTGGATGTGTGACTCTAACCTCCTGAAGCCATGCTTCAGCCGTGCCGTGCCTAACCCCTGAACCCTAACTGTAAATCCTAAATTCCAAGCCTTAAATCCTAACCCTAAGTTTTGAAGCCGCAAACTTTGAAGCCGAGATGCAGGACTTCACGTGATTTTTCACTTTCCTCAGTCGTGGTGAGAGGTTTTGGGGGGTCTACTATTATAGTCTATGCATGACAAGGAACCCCGGTCGGCCTCCTTTCTTTTGTTAAAGTTATGTTAGAGAATCTGATCCCGACTGCGTGAGGTGGACAGATCTTTTGCTGAGGTCATCATGTATTGATTTTGGGGAGGGCCCAGTGAAGGGAGGCGAACATCTGGAAAACAGACGGCTGTCACGGCATGTCACGGCTGCTTGCAGATGTTTCTGCGACGGCATCATTTGGAAGGGTCGGAAGGGTAGAGAAGTGATAGACATCATGACAAAAATCAGGGGATGCACGACTCAAACTTAAGGCCCGGAAAGCTGTTCATTGGTTAACCACTGCGGCTCCCGAAGAGAATCCTACACGTCCTACATTTAAGGTCGTTTGTTACACATGCGCACATGAACATATACATATATCTTGACCATGATATGCTATGTGTATAATGTAAGATAACAGCCAGATAGCCAAGATAGAAAACAGAACCTGTTTAGGGAGTGAAGAAGACTCGATATACTAATTATACAACACATACTGTGCAACATAGTATGTTAAACCAGGGTGTGGACTATGCAAAAACAAACGGTGCACAATCTTTAATAAATGGTACATAAGAGAAGGATGTAGTGTGCATGGCGTGAACCATACCGGCATATAGTATATCATACATATAGCAAAATATGATGCATCGAATATATTTTCCGTATAACAAAGACACATCTCTCACGCATCACTTGAACGGGTGCGTCGGGTCTAGGCTCTGGAAGCTTGAATCATGCAGTTTTCAGAGGCGACATTTGGCCCTAAGTGCTTGTTCTTCATGTTGGCTTCCTGTGCTTCAGCATAGGCATATGATACCCGAAGTCAGGAATGTGACAAAACCCGTGCAATCGGAACCTCCACCTAAGCTGTACTTTGCCAAAGTCTTGGAACAACATGCGACATGGCACCTTCGCCTCGCAGCTGGTGCAAAGCACCCAGGTTTCAAAAGCTGACCCACAAATTGAAACTAGATGAACCTGCTGCTGAATGAAACAGCAGATCCTGGCATCACTCTAGACTTTCAGATGGGCGTCTGCCAGTCGCATGTCAGCGACTCCGCGTTGAGCCCTCGGTTTGCAACTTCAGGCTCCAGGAGATTAGAGAGTGTAACTGTCTGGAGGGCATGTAAAGTGCCCATGAAGAACATGTCGGCAGTGAGGGAGAGCAAAGTAGGCAAATTTCCTCCATTACCCAATGCCAATCAGGAAGGAGGGCATGTAAAGTGCCCATGAAGAACATGTCGGCAGTGAGGGAGAGCATAGTAGGCAAATTTCCTCCATTACCCAATGCCAATCAGCTGGTTACGCTTGTGGAGGGAGCGTTTGCGGTATGCAGGTCAGTGCTTAACTTGTGGCCCACCTGCCACGCCGAAGCGAGCACCGTGTCGAGCTTCGTGCATCGCGTGCACACAGCGGATGAGGGCCTCAACTTGCATTTTGGGTTCTGCAGCACCATCTGAAGAGGGAGCGTCGGGCGGTGATACTCCAGTCAGCATCGCAAGAATCCGCAAGACGACGGCACCCGACAAGTCTAGGTTTGTACGCTTTAGGCTGGCAGCGTGCCTAACTTGGAACGGGAACCCTCGAAAGACCGAGACTTCGAGATTACTGAAGTCCATGATATAAAAGTCTTGGAGACCTGCAGCCTTAAACCTTGCGAAGCCCGCCAGGGATTGATCCAAGCTCCGAGGCCTTCGAGGGAACACAGCCATACCTGGCAATCAGAGGCTTCCTTCACGCTGCGGAGCTTTCTCTGTGCTCCAAGGGGTTTAGGGTTTAGGGTGTGGGTAGATCGTAGGATTAGAGTCATGACGAGAAATGCCCGAAGTACTCGCAGCCGTGCTTGTAATTACCGAACCTCCCAGTCGACTGAAACATCTCCTTCAAGTCCGAATTCTTATTCTGGGCCCGCAAGCTCTCTGCCGATTGTGTGCAGTCAGGGCTTCGACTTCGGGGTGTTGATTCTACTTCCTAGCCTGGTGCTTTTTCGGTCTGTAGATTTGGATTGTGATTTAGCATAATTTAGCTGTTTTTTTTTTTGGGAGGGGGGGGTGGTGGTGAAGGTCTCGTCGGCCGCCTGCTCAGTTGGCCCATCTTGTAGGCTTCAGGGGCTTTCTTTTCGCGTGATATTTGTTGGAACCAAAGAAAAACCTCGGAACTCTCGGAGAGGTCGACGGACCCCCACGACTAACCCCCAACACATCACCAAAAGAGATACCACCGCATGGCAAGTTATGAGAGTTCGTATGAGGCCGCCCAGACTCACGACAGAGGTAACATACAACACTCAGCACTACATCAGGAATCGTACATACCGCAGTCATCATATGAATACGAGCCATCTGATATTGCATTTACAATTTTTAAGCATCCGAAAAAAAGAACATTATTAACTATTCCCTCAGTTTATTGATATCATGCATAATCTATAAAACGAGAGAGGCTTCTAAGCACCACCGGGTCGCCAGGTGCAATCGCCGCCCAAACGGGGCAGCCGCTCCACCAGCAAAGTTCGTGCACCGAAACGGGCCTGGGATGGTTGAAGGATGTTGAAGGTCGGTTTAGGGGTTTGGGGGTTTAGGGTTTAGGTTTGCAAGGACTTTTGGTTTCACGCTTAAGGCTCAGCATTTAGGATGCAGGGTTAGAAAGAGAGCCGCAACGCAACAACAACAACAACAACAACGATCACTGCAGCATACTGCCAGTAGAAAAACGCATGCGACCATGAATACCAAAAACAATAACATCGGTGCTGAAATTCGAAGTGCCCCAAACACTTGCAATAGCACTAAGCGCGGTGATGTGCAATAGGCCGCAGGTGCCAATGTCGAGCGACTACGACGACAGGAAGCGGAGTGACTGCTAAGCACAATAATCATGACATGTCATGACAATTGGAAACAGCACAGCCCAGCAACAAGAGTAAACCATTTCCGATGGGTTTCGGGTGGGCGTACGTCTTGAGACACCTCAGGAACCCTCGGAAGATTACCGCCGAATCATCATCGGATTCTTGCAGAAGCTAGTCTTGAACAGCTTTGTAGACCGGTTGCTGGCGGCAAGAGGTCCCTGGCTACCTGCAGAGGCTGCTATGTAATACTCAACCAGGAACTTCAACCTTTAACGCCCTGCCCCCTAGAAGCACTTCCGAAGCATGAGCTCAACCCAACTGTTTCAGTGGCATGTGTCTATGCCACAGAAGGTGTTGTACAGTTCCTAGTTTTCAACGTGACACGACTGAATTTGCCTCATTGCGGCGGCAAACTGATCTTGCATTGCGGTGTTGCTTGGTTTCGACACGGTCCCTTCAACCAGTCCAGTCCCGCCAGATGAGTTCGAGCATGCTGCTGCTCCTTTGTCCAAAAACCCGTTGGACCCGCGTCCCACAATTCAAGGACCCGAGCTGATTTGGTTTCTCTGAACCTAATCCGCGGAAGCTGTTGCTGTCACAGCCACTGCTGTGCGGGCGGCAGTGAGGCCACCGGAGCCCGCGCCGATCACTACGGCATCATAGTGGCCCGCCTTGCAGAGCATAAGTTTTCAGTCAAGTATGTGAAGTATGTGAAGTATGTGGGCCAATATGTAAGATAAAGTAAGTTTAGGCACAGATGGGTGACAAGCACCTGGTTAGATGAAGGCAAAGGGTAGAAACATGTATCCGCACATGAGTATGTACATATGAGTTCATCTACATACACACACACACACATATATATATATACATGCATACAATGTACTTTACTCGGAAATTGTTGCAATTGCTGTTTTAGTCCTTAAATACTATTGCTATGGCCATCTCCGTATGAACACAAAGAACCACGAAACATGAGGATGTTCAATCGAGACCACGCTGCGCTCCTTGAATACAAAAACGAACAACCACATCCATGTATGCATGCATGGCATGCATGTATATGTGACCAATACTGCGTGCAGGAAAGCACTGCTGTCTCTATGTCGCTATCACTCTCACTCTCTTTCTCTCTCTCTCTCTCTCTGTGTCCCTCCCTCCCTCTCTTTTCAATGCGTGGCATGACACATTGTGTGCGAAGCGCGAAGAAGAAGTACCGGCAGGTAACTGCACAGTTTAAGGCTATGTTATGACAGACTGACTTTTCACACGGTGATGTGGTCTGGTATTGGTTTAGGGTTTAGCGTTTCGGTTTGCGGGCAAGAACAAGGGGCGTTGCCGTGTTCTGTCCGGCCATATCCTATTCCCAGAAGACCAGATGAGCCATGCCCCAGCTGGATTGGAAGGCAAGACACGCCAACCAAGGTCATACACTCATCACTGGACCCCACAGCTCAGCCCCTCCCGAAATTCTGCGATCTCAATGAGCAACAAACTTAGCAAGGCTCAGAAGAATACCGTCAGGGTTGGAGGTACGCTGGGCCTGCATCTCGGAGCTCGTCCTTTTCACAAAGCTCCGGTGTCGTTCCATCGTCTTTGTAATCGCTCTGAGCAGCCGATGGGCACGGCTATGTGCATCAAACCCCGCATGACAGGAATAGCCCCTGCACGACGGTGCTTCAAAAGCAGAATCATTTTGTGGCAAATCGGGCCTACGAGGGAGATCAGCGCCGAGCAAAGATCTACGGTACTAGGACAGTGGTTACGAACAGTACCGCCGCTTATATTATATATATATATATTTATTTATTTATTTATTTGTTTATATCTATATATATATATATTTATTTATTCATGTATATATATATATACACATATTCTTATATTTCTATACAAATTTATATGTATATTTATATTTATATATCTATTTGTTACTACATGTTGTTACTATTGACCCCCACAAAGCCGTGTAACCTACAATCTCAGGGGAGTACCGCTCGTTGTTGTCACCACGATGGCACGATCATGCGAGTTCTTCCTGCATCTCCTGCTTGAAGGAATTCCGTTGATTCTCTCGCAATTCTCACACCTTACACCCTGACACTGTGTAGTAAACGTATGCATGTAGAATGATGTAGATAACAATCCTCAAACCCTAACCGCTTATTGGCCGAAGACAAAAGCTCAGCTGCTGATCCCCCAACTCATGGCTCTACTAATTGATATATAGGGACCTGAACCATGAGAATCGGGCTCCTCTAAGGGATCCTCGAAAATTGAAAGGGTTCTTTAGGGGGATGAAGGGGCGTCAAGAAGCAGACTGGTGCTTTGGGGTAACGGTACTAAAGAACCCTAAGGCGTAGCATAGGTACTAATTCAGGCCCCTACGTTACTGGAAAGCTCTGTGCATGCAGACAGGCAGCTCGCGGAGTGCGTCTCGCTATTTGCAGGTTCATGGTGTAGAGACAGAAAGTATGTGCACTCGGTCAATACCTCCCTGAGAGCGTCTTAACATAATTACTATGCAGTGATATGCCGGGAAGTACACTACAATCAAAACGATAAGCATGCTTATGATGTTTTTTGTGCCATAAGCTTCCCACAGAGAACGAAAACGTCTAAGCCTGTTACACTGGTTTACATCGATTACATCGGTTCAGTTCTTGAGAACGACATTCTCGGAGGCAGCGCGTGCCCATGCCGGTGTTCCTTCTTTGAGCTTCTAGAGGCTCTTAAAGCAGCCCTGTTACTTTGCGCATGTATGTTCAGGACTTTCTATGGAACCTCCCGCTTTCCACGAATTTCCGAATAGCCGACGCTTTTTTGAGTGCACCGGAGTCTAGGACTCTAGGCTTTAGGGTTTCAGGCTGAAGTGGCTTGAGACTTGGGTTTAGATTCACGAGATCTGAATTTTAGGCTTGGAGTGCGAAACTGGTGCTTAGGGAAGGAGATCTCCTCTCGCATGGTTAGAAGCCATGTTCACATGCGAGGCTACTTGCAATGAATGGGTTCCCAAAGCGTGAAAAGGTCCAATGCGCTTCAGTTCGTGAATCAGAGTTTAGGCTCAGTGTGCGAAACTGGTGCTCTGCCCAGGCCTGGGATCCTAACCGCCGTTTCACGGCAAGCGGGGCCGGCGAATGGAAAAACAGAGCCGAGGGGAAAATGTCCAAAAGCTGCCAATCATCAACCACAGTATTCGACATGGTAATCGCATGAGAAGCAACATGGACATGGTCATAACAGCTCAGGCCATGACAATACAGCGGTCAACAGTCACAACAACAGCTGCACCACCAGGCACGCTTCGACTGCGATTGTAAAAGCCCATGGCTTCGGAAGTTAGTTTCAAGCCCATGGCTTCAGGAAATGGGCGACTCTGCCACAGAAAATCATGATCTGGGCGGCAAAATCGTTCTTGATCGGGAGCTATCTGACAAGCTGGATCCTTTGAGCAGAGTTGGAAAATCCTCAAAGGCCATGCCCACTTGAGACTACAGATGACATCGAGCGCTGCTTCTGCGTTTCGGTGGCGAGGGACTGCTCGAAGAGTTCGCTGTGGTGACCATCGAAGGT